ATTATCTTTGCTGTTGTCACTTTTCTTGCCTGATAACAGTCATTTGTTCCCTTAAGGACTTGGATTGCTGAGACCTGTTCAAGGGCAAGCATTACGGCCAGGCTTAGATCACAAAATGGCTTTGGCCAAAAATGGCTTCTCTTGTGTCAAGAAAGCCATTCCTGGTTCTCCTTCTCCAGGGACCCCCTACCTTATCTACTTACAAGAGCAGAAACCAGAAGGGCTAGGTATAGAGCAAGAAGGAAGTGAGTAAAACAGGACAGTCTTTTGAGCTTAGGTCTCTGGCTGGTGCGTGGGTTGGAGAGGGAGGGATTGTAAACTCTTCTTTGTAAATGGTCACTTTCCTTCCAACTGTAACATTGATGATCCTGAAAAGTGAGATATAAATAGATCCAGGAGGCGCCCAGGACAGGATTCAGGAGACCAGACTGTCTGAAGATAATTGAAACTTAGTAAGATTTTCTTGTTGATTCGTTTTGTTTTTTAAAACAGGGACCAAGGGGGAGGGTTTAGCTCAGGGGTAGAGCATGTGCTTAACATGCGCGAGGTCGTGGGTTCAGTCCCCAGTACCTCCATTAAAATAAACAAACAAACAAACCAACCGAATTACCTCCTCCCCCCAAACAAAAGACAAACAAACAGAAAACAGGTACCAAGCAGTTCCACCAACCTGTGAGCTTACAGGAGTTTGGAGGTCTTCCAGGTGGGACATTCCTGCGTTAGCATTAAGGGGTCTGGAATAGAGGAGGAAGCCTCTGACAGTGTGTGAGGGCCACAGAGAGCCTAAATGTGCCTGTTTGGAAGAGGAACTTAACAGACTTCGCTGCTTTATCTAGTCTTAGGGGTACCCCTCTCCCCTCCAGGCAGTAGTGAGGAAGTTGAAAAGTTGCTCACCATTTAGACGAATCATCCCTTTGGACAGGCTTATCCCCTTAGATACCCTCTTGCGCTGCATATGGTCTCTTTCTGTTGCCCTTCTCTGACTTGAGTCTTTGTCCTTGGGTTTTCCTTCTCCATGTTTTCTCTCCCTGCTTTTCCCCAGGTCTTAGTTCCCCGACACTCCCCAGGATCCACCTCTGTGGACCGTTCCCGAGCTGTACCTTCCTCTGTTACCATCGGGTCCAGATCCTTCAGCTCCATTGCCTGTTAACCTTCAGGAAATTGTATAAAATGTGGAACAGAACAACGATGAATATCCTAATATATAAAGGACTCTTATAACTTAGTAGAGAGAAGACTGACTATTCTAGTAGAAAAATGAACACAGGGCATGAAAAGAGAATTTGTACCAGCAGAAACACAAATGAATGATAAACGTAAAAAGATTGAGAATCAGAGGTGGCGAGAACAGGTGACCTTTTAAAACTTTAGTTATGTCTTCTAAATTTTCTATAATGAATATGTATTATTTCTATAACAAAAGAACAATAAAATATTTTCAAACCAACTGGGATTCAAGTCCCTGTTTGGTTCATCTGGGGTAAGGAGTTTGTAAAGAGGGTAGCAGGCTTTATATATATATCCCCCTTTCAAAAAGCACTTATGGTGGGGAGGGTACAGCTCGAGTGGTAGAGCACATGCTTAGCATGCATGAGGTCCAGGGTTCAATCCACAGTACCTCCTCTAAAAATAAATAAATAAACCTAATTACCCCCCACCCCCAGCCGCCAAAAAAAAAAGCACTTACATTGGAAGAGGGGTAACCAGACATTAACACAAGGGAGGGAACAATTATATCATCTTTTTCCTGGTTTCATAAGATACAGACTCTCTTGTCCCAAAGGGTGATGGTCGTGGTGGGAATTCAAAATGCTTGAAAGAGAAAATAAGAGATTTCTGAGAAAGCCTCTGATATTTTAGATCCTGCTCTGTGGGCAGCTGCCTTCAGAGAGAGCTGATAAGGACACTGGCTGATGATTTCCTTGTCAGCTGATTCCTGGAGGAGGGACCAGTCTTGGGGTGAATTTCCAGAGGCAGTATCAGATTTGTGGGAAGTCACAGGGAGAGAGCTGGGCAGAGACAGAATAAGCCCCTCAGAAGGGGGTGGGGATCAGAGCTGAGCCTAGATGACTGTTTATTAGGGTCCTGCTAGAGGGTCCCAGCCCTGGTGGACCAGACACCTTAAGGCTGCTTTTGTAGTGTTGACAGTCGGTGACTCATCTGTCCATGCAGCCACCCGGACAGTACCAGCAGGACTGACTGAAAAGACAAGGCAGGGTCTGTCGCTGGCCATAGGCTACCTGGCCGGAGCTTTGAGGGTGGCTTCAAGCGGACGGCAAGGTGGAAATGGAACGGGGCTTTCGGTTTGTGACTTCGAAGAGGACCGGATAAGGATTACATGCAAGTCTCCAGGATGGGTGAGGAATTCAAAGCATCTTAGCATGCAAAGTATCTGTTGATGGTTTCCATTGAAGAGTTGCTGGGTCTTTCAGGAATTTCGTGTTCTCGACAGTTTCGCATTTTGTCTGGGCATAGTCTTCTGGAATACTAAAGTTATGCTAATGAGGGGGGTGGAACACTTAAGTTAAATCAACACAGACTCCCTGAAGCATGTTGGGGGCTGGTGGTTTCTGTCCTTAGTGCCCAAGCTGTGTGGGGGGAGTTGAGGGGGAGACCGTTTGCATTCTCATATTTACACTGAATCTAAGAGAACAGGCTCATTTTTGCACATTTTCACTCACCTTGCTTTCCCAGGTCGGCTGCTTTACTGGGAAGAGAACACATTTGCTGCCACTCAGCTAATCTGACATTTAGAGTTCTTATCTCAAGTGAGCCCTTATACAGATCAGCCCCTGGTGGCTAGGTGTTCAGCCAGTCCCACACTCATTATGTAAACCATTCAGTCAACACATTTTCTGTTCGTATTCACCAAGATGTAGGCTCTGTGTTAAGCATTTTACATTCACCATTCATTGGACAGTTTTTCATGAGCATCCATTTGGTGTCAAGCAGAGTGCTCAGTGCCAAATACACAACTGTGAACAAGACACATCTCTTGTTCTTTAACCTCTAGGAGTGTGATCTTCAAAGCAGTGCCAAGGGATACGCTGTGTCAATGAAAAATTCATCATAAATTCATTCATAAGAAAGAAATGGAAAATTTTATTCGAGCCAAATTTGAGGATTATAACCCAAGAAGACCATCTTGGAAAGCTCTGAGAACTGTTCAGCTCATTCAGAAATCAAGGCACAGTTTTCTAAGTTTTTTGAGGCACAGAGCTGTACATCAAATGAGGTATTATTGGCAGTTTACTGAATTCAGATCTAAGGGTCATCCTGGTGGATCATGTGAGCCCTCATAAGATCAAGAAGGAATATTATCTCTTAAGGATTTGTCTTGTTGATGCTGGGAGAATGTTGCTCTTTGCAGTTGCTCAGGTGTTCCTGCTGGTGGGGGAGGTTTGGGTATCATGCAGATACACAATGCACAGAGGAGGTCAGAGGGTGGAGAAAAAATTTTTATGTTTAAATTGTTCTTGTGTTGCCATAAAATAGGAATTTTATTTCACAGCTGTGTTAATGACCTTTATGGAGGAGGGGACGGGGTGACGAGAACTCAGGTGACTTGCCCATGTCTTTCTAGTAGCACATAATGAGTCTGCAGGAACCCTGGTTAATCTGGCTGAAGACCCCACTTTTGACCTCTGTTGTTGGTCTGTTTACCCTGAGGCTGGTCTCTCTGATGTTAAAGGCCCAGGATTCCTGAGCTGTGGAGCTGAGACCCTGAACTTCGACTTGTCAGCTTCCAGCTCAAAGCAGGATTAAATGGGGAACTGGTCCCTCGGTGCTAGAAACAGTCAGCGGCCACCTCTTCTCGTGAAATACTTCTGATGAGTGTCCCTCCTCACTTCCTCCAGAGGGAGCAAAGTGTTCTGCTAGTCTGCTCTTGAAACAAACCCATGTTGATTCAGCAACCAAGAGACTGGGATGAAAACTAGAAATGTTCAAGGCTACAATTCAAGTTTTATTACATCACACTGCCAGGATTTTTAAGATCGCTGTTGTGCTCATCAAGACCAGAGAACATATAAATATTTTTAGTACATAAACTGCTGTGAACTGAGATTATCCACAATACATGTCTAGTTCCAGGATTTGCATGCTCAAGGTAAAAAGAACCGAAAAAGGAGGACTTTATTTGAAAAGATTATCTCGCCTGCTTCTCGCCTGCTGGTAAACATTGAACAGATGGTCTTCATTTTTCAATTTTAAATATTTGCACGACATGCTGGGGAATAAAAACAGGAGATTGAGGACTGAGAATTGACAAATGCTCCTGTCCTGTCTGGAAGTTCATAATACACGCACAAAACTTTTGCTGGGAAGGAAGTGCTGGAAGTCAGCACGTGGTGACACGGGGCTGTGGCCAAGTGAGCACTAACCCAGGTTCCCGCAGGAAGGCCGCACCCGGCCTTTCTCTCCCCTTTTCGGTTCTGTGTCCTGGGACAAGATCTCATATCTGTGCTCAGTTTTTGTGTGGACCCGCCTTAAAGAACTTTCTAAATCCTGAAGACAACATGTATTATGCAAACATCCACTATTGCGATTGAAGACACAATTGAGATCCTACAGGACAATTAGAACCAGATAAAAACATACCTTAGATTAGGTTAGAGAGCCTGGTAAGAGAGTTAACTACTTTCCCACTGTTCACTGCTTGGCAGAGATCATGACCACTAAAGTGTTCAATTCATCTAAGTTTGTCTTTCATTTTGATCTTTTGAAAAAAGTGTTGCCTTTGAACAACCAGCATTTACAAAGTTCTGAACTCTTGGTAAGCATCATTTTTGTGAAACTGTTGCCAGTGGATCCAACCGGTGTTCTAGGTTTTTGTCCCACCCCAGAAAGAATTCAGAAACAAGACTTAGAGGTTAAAAAAAGTAAAGTGAGGATTTATTAAAGGATGGATAGTACACTCTCAGGGGAGAGCGGGCAGCTCAGGTGAGCGGCTGCCCTGAGTTTCTTGGGCAAGTTAGTTACATCGGGTGTAAAATGAATGGGCAGAATATTCATTGAGGAGGGAAGGGCTTGGGGTCGTAATTCCTGATTATCATCCCAACTCCACCTTCCCAAAGGGAGGATGGATTTTTGTCCTTAATTAGTCTGGATCAGAAGCATCATGGCGTCAGTGCATGATAGGTACCTCTGACCTGCAAGGCTAATTTTATTGAAATGAGGGCATAATGAGCAAAAGGTTACATTCGGACACTGAAAATTCCTGCCTTTTCTCACCTTTCTTTGTTGGTCTCCAGGCCAAAGTTGTGGCCCCTTATCAGCCCAAAGATTCCTGCTTCTCTTTCTCTGCCCAGGGACCCCTGGTACTTATGTATGTTTCCTGCATTTGGCTTGTGCCCCTCCTTTCTGCCCAATTCCTGCCGTTTGGTCTGTGTCCCCCTTTCTCTGCTCATATCCAGCTATCTGCCTGCTCTAAGAAAACCTTTCATTTCGCACATGGGGAGCCCGAGACCCAGGGAGACCAAGAGGTCTGACAGGGCCACGCAGCAGGGTGGTGTCAGGGTGGTCTAGAATCCTGACGCCCAGCATGCCCAGTGTTCCCTGCGTAGCTCCTCGGTCTTTACCTCGGTCTTTATTGCCTCCTTCTCTGTTTCTGATTCGCAGTATCGGTGTTACCCAACTCAGGTCCGGCTGCTCGCCGCTCAAAAGTCAGTCCCTGAGGGAGACACAGTAGGTGGGAAGGAGGGTAACTCTTAATCAGAACGCTGGCCATGGGGGGAGATGGTGGACGCAGTGTCCCCCGAAAACCATCACCGAAGATTCTGCTCCGCTCAGTCAGGAGAGTTTTTAAAGGGAGAAAGGGAAGCAATCTCATTTAATCGTTGAGATAGGCTGTCAGGCTTGTGGCCTTCTGATCTTTCTTTAGACGCAGTCTTGCTCAGTTTGTTCACACAGTTTGTTCTGAAGGAGAAGCTAGGGAGATCTGGTCATCTGTTAATTACTTAATCTCCATTTCTACTTCTTTGATCTACAGAAAGAAACCAACAGATTATGCAGGGTATCGTGTGATCAAAAGATCTGGAAGGCAGCATCTAGGGCCAGAGATGAGTAGGGCATGGGGGTGCCTGGTTTAAGGGAAGAGACAAAAGGGGCCTCCTGCAGAGAGCTCTTTCCTGCCGGAAGCTGCTGCCCTTGGGCACGCCCTAGATTTCTGCCCTGGCTCCCCTTACACTGTAGGTCCTCTCCAGTGTCACTCCTGCTCCTTGCCCTTTCTTCCCCCAGCTCTTCCCTTAGCCTCTCCAAGTCCGTACCCAGCCAGGCACATAGTAGGTTCGCACACTATTGATTCTCCATCCTTCTCTTCCTCCACTTTCTCTTGCCTCTTCCGTCCAGAAGTCATTGATCTTTTTTTTTTCCCCTCAAAAAACCTCCAAACTAGCTGTCTACCTGCTCCCTAAGTAGGCTAACTTGTGCCCTAGGTTGATAAATCCAGCAACACGTACAACACCTGCACCCTCTGTTGTCCTGGAGGCAAAACTTGACAGCTGAAGGGAGGATGCATTCATTAAAGGGTTTTAGGCTGTGGGAACCTCAGGGTTTTCCCTCCAAGAGACTCACTGATTGTGATAGATAAGTAACTCTAATCTTACTGTAGGCAACTTAAAAAGCATTTCTTCATCCCATCACTCATTTACAATTTCCCTTATGTAACGAATATCTGTTGTGCTCCTACTGTGTTCCTGGCCCGGGGCTGAGTCCGGGAAATACAGTGGATCAAGGACAGAGACCATCCTTGCACCCATGGTACTTGCAGTTTGTCTGGAAAACAGATATTAAGGAAATACTTACAATCAGGTGTGGTGACTGCTCTGGCTGGGGTGTCTGGGGTTCTCAGGGGACGGAGCAGGAGGATGTCTTCAGTGTGCTCCTTCCTCCACAAAGGCCTTCTGGAGGATGCGCAGGACCGGAGAGATGCAGAGGAGGGAAGGGTGATGTGGGAGGTCTGGGAGGGCAGACCTAGTGAGGCTCATCTGAGGAAACTGAGCGGAGTCTGTGTGTCTGGAGGACAGAGTAGATGCAGGAGAATGTTCCAGGGGAGGGGAGAGGTAGCAGGATCTGGTCAAACCAACAAGTCTGGGCTTGGCCAAGGGCACGGGGAAACCGCTGAAGTGTTTTTTAAGCCTGGGGAGAGGCATGGCCAATTTTGCCTTTTGGAACATTGATTCTGGCTGCAGTTGAAGAGAAGGGAAAGGAAAGGGAAACCCAACATGCTGCCGTGTGCAGTGGTTGGGGAGCAGGTGTGGGGTCAGACCCCCCCTACGTGCATGTCCCTGTTCCTCCATTTATTAGCTGTACATCTGTGTTAACTGAACTCTCTCTGTGCCTCAGTTTCCATGTCTGTAAAGTGGGGACAGTCATAGAATCCACCCCAGTCAATTCTTGTGAGCAGCACAGGAGATCATGTAGATTTCCTGGCTGGTGAGTGACTGGTTTTCTGAACGCATGGATGGGTGGTGGGCTGGCTTAGTACTGGGGCCAGTCTTGGGCGCTGACAGTTCAGAACAAGGAAGACTTCTTATGTCTCTCCTTCAGTTCCCCCATCCTCATTCCTTTCCCATCTGCCTGGCATGGAAGCAATATTAGTTTAATAGGAAATGGAGCCACTTGTTTTGCAGAAAGTGTCTTCTGATTGCAGAAGCCTAGAAACTAAAAAGCATTAATTACTACATTGGTGTACATGAATTTCACTTAAAGTGAAAATAGTGATCTCTGATCTTTTGTTTGTTTTGATAAGGAAAGGTAGGGAGAACTCAGAGTCTAAAGGTGGGAAAGCCACTGGGGCTGGGGGGAAGGTAAAGGCACAGTGGGTACATTACACCCAGTAGATTCTGCTGAATGTCAGTTATTTTTAGAGCAAACAGTGTTTTCTCATAGGCTAACCCCATTTTTGCAAAAATAATTCTGCACTGTAACTAAGAAATAAGAAACCACAGGAAAGTGGGTTCAGGACAAACAGTAGAGCTGAGATTCTGGGCTGCTTTTTGTGTTTTACTTTTCTTTTTAAACTTTTTTTTTATTGAGTTATAGTCATTTTACAATGTTGTGTCAAATTCCAGTGTACAGCACAATTTTTCAGTTATACATGATACTTTTTTTTAATTGAAGTATAGTTGATTTACAATGTTGTATTAGTTTTTTTTTTAATGTTGAATAATCACATTTATTCTTAGACCTCCCCTGCCCGCACCTGGTAGATGCGCACACAAGTCCCGCTCGCATTTTTGTTTAGTGCTTCTGAGTCAGCCCCACGGGGGAGCCAGGAGTCAGGGAGGCTTAGCCTCCCTGTTAGCCAATCCCCTTTCCCCCATTTCACTTCTAGGAAGACCGTGTGGGAAATCTGAGAGCTCACAAAGTTGTCAGGCTGTGGGGGCTGAGACTGCCTTGAAATGTGCTTGCTTGTCTGTTCTGACTGCAGGCTGAATGCTGTCATCTGGAACCTGCCCAGGGGGGAAGCCAAGGGTACAGCCGTTCGCTCCCTTTTCCTTGTCTCTGCTTCCCGATGACGGGGCTGGGTACACAGAGGTTCACCTCTGTCTGCACCCTCACGCAGGCTCTTTCCCAATCATCTCTGCCATCCTTTTACAGATTGATCTGTTAGCATAAACCCGATTATCAGCCTACTCTTATCATAATCACCCTAACAGCTGCTATGAAAATTGACTTTTGCAATAGACATTAGTGTAATCTGCTTCCTCAGTAACTCACAGTTGTTTTCCAGCATCTAGGAGAAGCCCAAACCACTGAGGCTGCCTGCAAAGAGGGGTGGAATGTTCTGTGGCCAAAGACTGTAGGTTGTCTTACACTGCAAATTAATTTTGAGAGGAAGACACAAATGTTTTAACCCTGGAGCCATCCATTCATTCAGAGGTAGGCCGAGTTTGCCAAAATCAGGTTCCCTTCCCTGCAAATTTCAAGTAGAGGTCTTACCGAAGTATCGGCCCCCATCCCTGACGAGTCAAATAACTCAGAGACTGGGTCTTGGAGCTTAGAAGAAAAGAGGCAGCTTAGTTGCTTTGCCAGGCAAAAGAGCCTCACAGCAGGCTAGGGCTTTCAAAACTGGGAGCCCCTTTTGGGGTCGGGGCTTGGTGATTATATAAACATAGCTTAAACAATGAGGCATCAGTAACAATCAACAGAATTATTCACTTTTCGTAAGACTCACAGTGGCGTCATGGTGCCTCCAGGCGACCAGTTCTGCAGAGGCCAGTGGCTGTCGCTCTTTCCACCTCTTCTTGTAAGTGCTCCAGGTGTGGTCTTCTTGGTAATTCAGGCTATTTTGTAAAGTTACAGTCGGGTGACCTTTTTCCTAGAGAACAACTCAGAAGCCAAGCATGATCATAACTCTGATCACCAGGATAAAGTAGAAACAGTAAAATCAACAGCTTTAAATGGGCCTGGGGCTGTGAGGAGTAACTGATCAGTCATTTGCTGACTGTTCTAAGAGCAAACAGCAAGCATAAAGCCAAGAACCTCTCAGCCTAAGTGCGGCCATTTTATTATTTCTCCTTCAAAATCCCCACTGTCAGTTTCTCTCATTCCGTTTCTATGGAAACAGGGAGACGGACATCGTGTTCGTCTGGCTGCTTCCTGCTGAATGAATGGGGGTGTTGTTTGATGGCCCTTGAAATGGAATGAGTGAACCTGATCTTGTCATGTGGCTGGGGGTTCAGAAAGAGCTTTCGTTGTTCGTTTTCCGCACATCAGACAACAGAAAACCGTTAGTCTAAATGTTATATATATACTAACGTTTGTTAACAGATGTGATAACAGAAAATGCAGGACCCCCACAAGGATGGGTCTGAGACCTTGAGGCACCCATGAAAAGAGGCCAGAAAACCAGGTATTGACTTGAGATGTAACTTCTCGAGCATAAGCGTCTGAATCCCTTACATTTTGTGTTTGTAGCTTCATGTCCTGCAGGGCAGTTGTGATGTTCCTGGATTCATCTGGTATGAAAGTACAACAGGCAAAAGCTCAGTAACTACAGGAGGAGAACTCAAACCCATGAGGTTGCCACTACAAGTTGCCAGCAGATGCTGCTTTGAGGATGGCTGGTGACGTCCCCAATTTAATGCCGCTCAGAAAACTCAGGTCCTCAGCAATACAGAAACTTGCCTGAAGTCCCATCTTCAATGGTAACCTAGTTTTACCTTGGATGTCTGAACTGCAGTTATTCCATTTTGATTTTCAAATGCATTTCTCTCCTTAGTGGCCAAAGCAGATGCCACCATTAATGATTTTTGGTGCTTTTCTAGATATGAGGAGATGCAAGAATTTGAGCTCATTAAATCTTCTCCTGAGAATATCTAACTATCTGAAGGCCTGTTCAGCCAGTTCTCCCAGAGCACAGAGAGCCTCATTCCTGATCTCCATCCTGAACTCCTTTCAGGGTGTGTTGGAGGTCAGCGGTTGCAGCAGCTCATGACTTAATCCAAGCAGAGGTAGATGGCAAATGCCAACATGATCCAGTCTTTGCAGAGGCAGTTGGCAGGTGCCCTCATGATCATAAATTTGACCATGGTTTGGCATTTTGTCCCACGGTGCTAGGAATGCTCATTCCTAGGTCAGGCGAGGATTTCATTGATAGACCACTCAATGTGCTATTATGAGACTAGGCCTTATTAACAGTAGCAACAAGTCTCTGGACCCCCTGTCTTACTAGCCTGTTATGATCCAGGAGAATATTCCTCATGTTGCTTCTTCCCATATCTAGAGTCATACTATTACAATCACGGGTTTCATACAGAGGTATATGTCTGGCCTACTGTTTCAAGTTGCCTAGTCATTATTTTATCAGAGGCTCAGTCACACATTTGGCAATGCAAGAAACAACAATTTTGTAAAAGAGGCAAGATACAAATAATATCGTTAGCAGTATTAGTAAGGTCATAAGCAAGAATTTAAACCAAGAACTTCCCATTAGGTGCGGCTCAGTGTATCCCCAGGTCACCTGACTGAGTCTGCTCTGTACCGATCCTTATCTTTAAGGAAGATGTTGCACGGGCATTGTTCACAGGGCACCCAGCCAAATTTCCTAGTGTTATGAGGCTGGTCTTCCTTAGTATAGTTTAAGTTTTCCCAACATCAGAGAGCCTTTAAGCTTAAATGTCCATACCCTGCTGTTAACCATATAAGTCCATAACTGAGGGAGGTTATATTCTTTGGCTGAAGTTTTGCTTGTTGCCTGAGCCTGGGTGATCTTACAAGAAAATACATATTTATGGCCCGGCTTAGAGCAGGTATTATTAGTTGGCCAGGTGAGGGCTTCCACCTCGTAATATCGATAGGGGCCTAAATAGAACTATAATTTCTTTTTTCTCTAGAATAATTTTTCTGAGGGCTATCTAGTTAGAGCCTTGGAGTGGGGAAACCCACCAAGGTAACAGAGAAGTACTAGATAGAGGTAACTGACTATAAACCTAACAATTGCATCTGTTCATAAGTGAAGGTGTGAGCAGTTATCAAAGTAATTGGTATACAGGCCTGGTCCAGTGTCTTGGGTCAGCTGTCTACCTCAGACGTTGTCTTCTCATCCTGGTCTGGTAGCTCTTGAGCTCCATTTGAGCATTGTTTTAAGGTGCACAGTCCTCTATAGGCCAATCCCGTGCAGGGGCTCTTTCTGACTGGAAATTTATCCAAAAGTCAGTTTCCTTCAGCTTTTGCTGTGCATGGTCTAGTTAAGAGTACCCGATAAAGGGTCCTTCCATCCAGGTTGGAGATACTTCTTTACTGTTCCAGCACGTATAATCCCCTGGTTGCAGGTCATGGGGCATCTGATCTTCATTAAAGGCTAGATTACTGAGCTTCAGAAACAATCTTAGGGTGTCCTTTTAATAATTTAATTAAACCTTTCAGCAATGTAACGTAACAGCAAGGAATGATCTGGGAAGTGAGTCCTGGTAAACACAGACCTCAATTAACAAAACTCGAATTTACTATCCACTGAAATATAATCTTTTTCTCTCTAAAGTTACCCTCATTTTTATCAAATACAGCTAAAGCAAGATTAATAAAATTATGTCTGCAAGCTAAGTCTCATTGTTTGATCATATAAGCTCTTTTAAATTGGTTGTGCCAGAACTTTTTATAAGGAGACTCAAGCTGAAATTTTAATAAGATCTCCTAAGGCCAAGAAAGCCACATTAAGGGCTTGTCACAGATTTTGCCTTACAGATTTAGGTGAATTTTTTTTCTGTTCAAGTTCCACAAAATACCTCGAGATTCCTATACCTGTTAGGAGGTAATCTTCCTAATTTATCTGATAGAGCCACTGGGGACCTAGAAGTTTCCAGCCTCTGGAGAGATCAGATAGAGAGAAAAGGTAACTGTTCCAAGTCTGCTCATATAGGTATAATTTACCAAGTTGCTGTGAGTCATAATTAGCTTAAGGAGACGGGTTTCTTTATATCTGGAAAACACAGATTAAAAGCCAGAAATATTTTAGACAAACCCAAAAATTAGACCATATTCATCAGTTTACTCATGTAACTAATCCTTTTTGTTAACAGTTTTATGAAATGAGTCTCCATCAGACTTTAAAAATTTCTTACCCAGTTCAGTTCAGTGCTATAATCTCAAACTTATCAGAAACCAGTAAATCTCCTTGAAGAGAAAGCATTTTGCAAAGGCATCAGAATAAAACAATAACTGTCTATAAATGATAAAAGTCTTAAAAGCATATGGTTAAGCACCTCATTACACTGTAATCAATAAAGAAACCTGGTTACAATAACCAGAATTGTGACTAGTAACATTTCAGACATACCAGATTTTTAGGGATTCCACATAATTTCTAGAATATCTATATTAATAACATTTTCTCTTACAATATAACCTAAGAAGATTTATTATTCATTTGACAATACTTCCCATGTAATTTAACATACCAAATGAAACTTACTAGATTAAAATCTCTTTTGGGGATGTTTCAGGGCCCTCTGAAGCATCCCAGAGTTATCTGGAGGTCAAAAGAACTCTGATTAAAATTTGATATTTGGGAAGCTTGCTAAAAAAATTTCAAAACAGTTGGTCAGATAAAAGCATAGGTCACTGTGAGACAACACTTATTTATTAACAATAAAATATTTTAAAGGTAGATGCAGAACAAATCACTTGAGGGGTAAAAGAAACTTTATAATCTATTACTAAAGGCAGATTAACATTTTAAGAAAACTTTGTCCCCTTAACAGAGAAATAGAGAACTAAATCTAGTCTTGTACCAGCTGACTTCTAAGATTTATTTACTCAGCTGAATTTATTCTAAACTTAGCCAATCATGACCATGCACAAAACTCTTTTTGCAGGGTTCCTCTTCCACAAACCTTCCACAGCTTTCTATACCCATATTATTTTGACCCTTATTTTCTCTTCCACTCAGAAGTAACCAGCTTCAGGACAAAGTCACTCTTTTTCCATTAACAAAATATAATTCCATTCCTCATACCTTCTTTTACACACTCATTTTACTTTCCTCGCATACTGAGATGTTTCCCTTAAAAGAGAATATTTCAGGGTGGCACCAAACATTTATTACTATTTCTAAATACCCTTTGTTTCTCTGTAAGTGGAAGTCAATTAATGTCTTGATATCTTATTTTATCTGAAAATAGCCTAGCTATTTAATAAACTGTCATCATTTAACTTAATTTAGCACAACTCTAAAATTTCAAGTTACCAGATATCTGGGGAGACCATTTGAGTAGACATTCCTGAAATGATCATTCCTAAAGAGTTTACCCCAAAGGTCTTTCTCATTTGCATGTAAGTTACTTATAAGAACATTATACCAAGTTCTTTTTCTTGCTGACAGATTTGTAACAGATACGACAAGGTCTTGTAGTGTTGCCGAAGGATCGGCCCCCGTCCCTGACGAGCCAAATAACCCAGAGACAAGGTCTTGGAGCTTAGAAGAAAAGAGGCAATTTTACTGCTTTGCCAGGCAAAGGCTAGTGCCTTCAAAACTGTGCACCCACCTTGGGGATGGGGTGGGGTGGTTGTACAGCCATAGCTCAAACAAGAAAGCATTGATAACAATTAACCAAATCATTTTCTCATCAGAAGACTTAGAATGGAGTCATGATGCCTCCAGGTGACCAGTTCTATAGAGGCCAGTGGCTGTCATTCTTTCCATCTCTTTATCTTATAAGCACCCAAGGTGTGGTCTTCTTGGTAATTCAGGCTATTTTGTAAGGTTAAAGTCCTGTCACCTTCTCCCTGGAGAATGACTCAGAGACCAAGCATGATTATAGCTTTTGATCACTGGAAGAAAGTAGGAATAGTAAGATCAATATCTTCGGTTTTAGCAATGGGCTTGGAACCGTGAGTAGCAACCAGTCAGTCAGGTCAGTTGCCCGTTTTAAGGGCAAGCATAAGAATAAGTAACCTGTTGGCCTAAGTGCTATCATTTTATTAATCCTCCTTCAGTAGGACTTCTGTTAAACCTAACTACAGTAAAAGTTTTATGCTTAGCATTATTGAATCTTGAGACATGTCTATATTAATTAAACCAGTAAGCTAGCTTTAGATACCAGATATCAATTCAGTACAGAATATTTTTTAGATCACATGAACCCAATTTTCATTCTGGCCAGTTTCTTTTATATTTCTGAGTATTTATATAAGCATTTAATTTTCCTTAAGCCAATTAAATAGAGCTCTCTTACAAATTGACTTTGGCAATGCCACATATCTACAACATACCTATAAGAACATACAAACACACGAACACAGAGACCTCATAGTTCCCGTTTCAAAATTTTAGCCGTGAATCAGATACAACAATGTAAGTCTCATCAGTTACAAGAAGTTGGATTTAAGTTGGGTTTCCGGCAGATGGAATAAATCAAAGTTGCCTGTCCAGATAGTTAAATGTTTTTACTAACTTTTATGGAAGGCACCTAAGATTTGTATTTGTCCCTGACAAGCCAAGTTCCAAATTACTTTCCCTCTTTTTCAAAATTTGCATTCCATAGGTCGTAACAGCAGTTGAGTCACTGGTACTGGGACAGAAGTTTAGAAGTCAGGAGTTTAGAAATTAGAAAGTCCACTAGTTGAGACCCCACTGTCAGTTGTACCTGAGGCTCTAGGTGACCTTTACACTGGAAGGTGTTCTTCTCTCTGTCTCTCTCTCTTTTTTTTAATTTTAGTTTTGGGCAGCCTTTTTTCCCAATATCCTTCCTCTTTACAGTAGACACACTGATCAACAGTCACAGTTGGCTTTTTTTCCCCTCCCTTTTGGCCTCTGGGCTTCTGTTTACTAAAGGCTCCAGGGCGAGTTGTTATCATAACATTCACTGATTTTCTGTTTCTCTCTTCTCTAGCATTATAAACCTGAAAGGCAGTTTCCAGTAATTCTGCTGGGTTTTTTTGGCTGCTGCTCTTTTACTTTTACTTACTCTGTTTACTTTTTCTTAGTTAACTGTAATTAGACCAGTCATTTAAGATCTTACCCAACGAGCTATTGGATGGAATAGACGGTGCGCCTCTCATAGCAACTCATTTCAAATACAAGATGCAAATGCAGATTTCAGATTGCAATACCTGGCCTGTGTAAGTACATGGAAGCACAAACTTACAAATGCCAGGTTAAAACAAATTCAAATTCCAAACTTATTTGCTTCCAAGTTCCCTCAGCCCAAGCTCTCTTTCACAAACGGGTACCTGTTTCAGATGCAAACGAGAGTTCCGCACCTAATTTGAGAACTCCCAAAGCGAGATCAAGGGGCCTCAGTCGTCACCGGGAGCTTACCCTAGGCCTGCCGGTCAGATGCGATGCGTCAGAAGAAACAGAGCCGTCTTTTCTTCCTCCAAGGAGTGGGTTTGGGCACCTGCAGTCCGTTGACGGGTAGAAGGGCAAGGGATGAAAGGATCCCCAGAGCAAAAGGAGGCCCTGGTAGCCACTGGGCTGCGTTCTCCGTTGTCCCGCCCATCAGCCCGGAGTGGCAATCGTTCGAGCCTTGTTGGCCTGGCAGTGAGGAGGAACCTAATGCCCCTCTTAGAAAAGAGGGTGGTTTGAGCCACGAGATGGGTGCCAAGAATTTGTTGCCGAAATATCGGCCCCTGTCCCTGACAAGCCAAATAACTCAGAGACCGGGTC